CATTCATTCATCTCATTCAATCTGTTCCTTTAGAGAACCACGACCAAAATAGATACATAATTTCTAGAGTGTTACAAATTCTCAGTCTGAACTCTTCATTGTTGAACCTGTTTTCAACGGTCTGTGGGACTTTGCCATACAGATGCATCTTATTAAAAGTAAATCTGAAATATCGTTATTCACTCCATTGCCGGATGAATGAAACGTGGCGAGGGGAGGGGGGTGTACTGTATAAGCAGTACATTTCTTATCCTCGGAGAGAAAGGTTGACTTCCAAGATTGACTGGCCATTGACAAATGTGGCAAACTTCCTTACACTTTGCTGAGACAACATGGGGTGAGCTCTCGAAAGCTGTTAATAAACAACTTGAAACCTTGATAAGTGCTAAGATCCATAGGCATAGCATGGAAGGCCTTTCAGAGAAATCTGGTGGTTTTTTCTTACGTTGTCAGGGGATTAGGCACCGGTTTTGGTAGCCAAAGCCTCCAAGGTGCCCAAAGGAACCGCACTAACTTTCTCGACCTACTGGCGCTCTCCGTGAGGAGCGCAGCCCGCCCCGCACTGAGTCCCCCGTGGGGTCCGCCACGCGCCTTTCTGCCCGTGGCGCCAACAAGAGGGTTGAACCCCGGGCCCAGTATGGCACGCCAGGAGAAGACGGCGGTTATGACCGTTACCAACCCGAGTTTTGAACTATTTCAAACTTGGCTCCGGCGCCCGCCCACCCCCTCCCCTCCCCCTCCCGAGAACTACTCAGCGCCCATTCCCGCCAAGAGCTGGCCCGCCCCCGGCCGGTTCCCGCCATCCCGACCTCCCCGCCTCCTGCCCTTAGCGGGCTTCGGGTCCCGCCAGGTGCCGGGTCTCCGCCTGCCTGTCCATGGCTTTCCTGAGAGGTACCGCACGTTGGCAAAAGAACAAAGACAGCGACTGTGGCGCTTCCACCCAGAAAGCCGCGTTCCTCCGAGCAAGTCCTGTCACCCGCGCAGGCGCTGGCGCCTGCGAGCCTCGCGCTCCCTGAGCCGGGGCTCGCTTGGAAGGCTGCCAGCCCGTCCGGCCCTCTGATTGGACGGGCGCCCTCTCGCATCCTCCAATCGGGGCGGCGCTTGATAGTGCTGGGGGGGCCAAATAAAAGCGATGGCGATTGGGCTGCCGCGTTTGGCGCTCGGTCCGGTCGCGTCCGACACCCAGTGGGACATCGAAGGCAGTGGAGTCCCGGCGGCGGTGGCGGCGGCGGCGCGTTGGGGCGGCGCGTGGGAGAGGCGCGGGCTGGCGCGCGGGACGAAGGTAGTGCGCGCCGTCGGCCGCCGGTGGTCGGCAGTCAGGGATCTGGAACGCGCCCCGGGGCGGCGGCGGCGACCGTGGGACCTCCGCGCGGGTGCCTGGCCAGTCTCCGGCATCGCCCAAGCGGGTCTCACTCGAGCGCCGCTTTTGTAGGAGCGGAGGGAGGGCTAGGGGACAGCTTTCTGAGGGCTCTCGAGGTGCGGGCCGGTCCACGCGGTCCCACGAGTGGACTGTGGATTCCAGCAGATGCGGGCGGGCGGGCGGGGGCCGGTGGTGGGGGCTTCTGTCCCGGAGCCTGGTCCCGCCGGGCCGGGGCTGGGGGCGTTCCTATGGGCGATCGGGGCCGGCAGCTCTGAGCCTCAAGTCTCCTTTGTGTGGCTGGGAGGCGGGAGCGCCCGGGTAGGACGGGACATACACACAAGTTGGTGGGACCGAGTCGAGAGTCTGCACTCAGACAAAGGACAGACTGTGTCTCGGGAGGGGAGGGGAGAACGCGACACTCGGGGCTCCCGCCGCGCGGGTGGGGGCGTGGGGAGGCGCGACGCGAGCGCGAGTGGGCAGGGCTGGTCCTTGCCTGGTCCTACTGGGGGGCGACCTACGCCCGGCCTTGCTGCTGCGGTACTGTGTGCACGATGTGGGAACTCCCTTAGCCCCGCGGCTGACATTTCCCCGAGAGCCGGGAGTCTCCCACAGCCTCAGGCTGCCAGTGTCCTCTCCTGGCTTTGTGCTAAGTTCGATGAAGAGTCCAGCTGCGTTCCCTTCTCTCACTTCATTGTACAGCCCCCACCCCCTTGCACGCACCAGATCCTGTGCTGCAGGGCTACTTTTTGAAAATGGGAAAAATTGAGAAAGCTCGGGCTTTCGGAAAACTTGGTGAACGTCTTGTGAATTCTACTTTCTAAAAGGATCAGAATCTGAAAAAAAAAATTACGGGCTGTTTGGCTAACTTGTGTGCTTCTGAGAATGGCGACAGGTGCTAACGAAATCAGCTGTCATTTACTCAGTGATTATTCCCCAAATCTCCAGGGGTTGGTTGTGGAAGAGATGATAGAACCAGATGATTGAAATAAAATACCCACGAGAAAGTGGGTATACACTGTAGGCTTGACAGTTTCTTTTTAGTGGGTCATGTTTCCCGTGAACAATAGCTTTGGTGAGTCAGGAAAGACGTTGCCTAAGAAATTCGAGTGTATTCTGGTCACAATTCAAAGAAACTTCCTTTGTTTATTAACATCGAATCTGTTGAATCTAAATTCATCTGAAGTAAAAATTTGTCTTTGATATTTAAAATACCGTACAACAACGCTACAACGCCTTTTCAGTTTCAGGAAAGTCATTATCAGTTTAATTTGATGAGTTTTTAATGGCACATAAAACATTTGAAAAATAGTAATGCTGCCACAGTTGAGTGTAGTTCATATTTTTGGCGATTTTAAAATTTATTTTCTGTTACTTTTCACTAATGAACATTAGCAGTGCATTTATATTTAGAAATAAAAGTCTCATAATTTTACTTAAAAGAATGTGGAAATATTTAGGTCATATTTATTTTCTGTTCTTGTTCTCTTAAGTTGGAAACGAATTGGATTCTGGTTTAAACGAAAAGCATCCTGCTTTTTCTCTTTGGGCAGGTGTATTAGGGAATGAAACACTTAGGAAAATTGCATCCTACATTCTTATTTTGATGGGTCTTGAATACATTTCTTTAAGAACACAAAAGAAAGAACAGGCTCTTCTTATTGCAGTGTTTCATCTAGTGAAAACCTAAAATACATCTGGTTATTTATGGCTTCGTATGAACGGAGACAAAGAAATGCAGTGTCAAATTTCTGTTACTTCTGATTTGCAGGAGCATCTTGGAATAGACATTCCAGGTGCTGCTCTAAATGTTGAGATTGTAATGTAAAGTTTATGTTTCCATTAAAATCCTATTGATAGTCTCATTCATTACGAAGTGAGCTAGTTGTATAGAATTTTGGTAGACAATTGGGTGTTTATTAAAATTCCAGTTTTGCCTGAACATGTGATTTATCCTGTTGTTGACATTTGCTGTTTTGTACTTGCCACATATATTTCCTAAAATCTTTTTGAATAATTGGTTGAAAATTTTGCCTTATGTTTTGGTAGAAATGAGAGTATGTTTAGGCAGTCTAAGAAGAGATAGAAAAAGCCACTTGTTGACTTGTGTAGTTAGAAGTGTTTTTTTGGTACCGATTTTCTCCCGTGTGGATACATGTGATTATCTTTGTGTTGGCTATGTAAAAATTTTAGTCAGATTTCCCAAATGACACCAAATTTGTTTGCTTTAGGATATCCTTTATCCTTTGAGGGTGTGCTCAAGAAGTTCACATTTACTTCATTATTAGCCTTTAAGTAATAATGAAGAAAGTTGATTTGCTTTTAAAAAAAAAAGAACAAGGAAAAATTTTCTGCTGATACAATGATTTATGGGCTAATTATAAATGGTTTATAGATTAGTTTTTAAGTCTTTATGTCAGTATATAGATGGTGAGTTTTTCTGTAAATTCCATAGTAGTTATAGGTTGGTAAAATCTTTACAGTGGAGCATGGGTAGAAAGGAACAATGCATTAAATTCAGAGAAAGGTCCATCAGATTATGTGCTTTATTTTAGAGATGCTGTCCCAGAATTCTCAGACACTCACAGGGTTTTGTTCATGCTTTTATTACAACGTGTCAAATTGTTCACTTGTTTATGCTTTATACTGTATTAAGTGCTGTGGGACAGAGATTCTGACAGAGATTGTATGCCTAACACCTAGGTTGGTAGTTTCCAGAGAATAGAGATTTTAATAACCAAGTGATTGAAGGAAATTGGAAAGATACAGTGAAATAATTTGACAAAGAAATTTGGAAAACAGTGAGATATAGATAAAACTGCTTGCTATGAAAACCAAGTTTGGTTCCAGGAACTCACAGTGGAAGAGAGAACTGACTCCCAAAAGCTATCTTATATGTTCATTCATGGACTTGGGTATTTTCTCTCAATAAAGAAATTGGCAAAGCAGACAGGCTAGGTCTTCCTCTCTTACTTGCTATGTAGCGAAGATTAGTCTTGAATTTCCTATGCAGCGCAGACAGGCCTTAAATTTGAGGCAGTCCTACCTCGCTTGGCTTTTGAGTGCTAGGATAGGCCACTATGCCTTACTTGGGTTTTTTTTGAGACCAGGTCTTGATTCGTAGCTGTGGCTGACCTGGAATTTGAGGTCCTCCTCCGTTAGCCTCTTGAGTGCTAGGTTTATACATGTGCACCATCACGTTCTGCTCTTCCTTTGTTCTTTTTTGAAGTAGATCTTGCTGTGTTGTTCAGAATGCTCTCAAACTATTAGTTTTTCATGATATTCCTATCTTAGCCTCCTGAGTAGCTAAGATACTCAGATATGATAGGCATGTGCCACTGTGCTTGGCATGAAGGTGGCAGGTCTTTTAACTGTAGGATATCATGTTGGAATTGATGAGTTCTTTACTGTAATAATTTCAGGTAGGTTTTGAAGCTAAGATTGAAGGAAGCAGTGACTAATTATAAGTCACTTACTGGGTTGTTCTTCATCATTCTTCTATGGTCCTGTACTCTGCTGTGCAGCTCTGTAACCTGCTCCTCATTATTTCTTAATGGCAAAAGTAGAGATAAATCTAGTAGTGTCTCAAAGGTTATAGAAGTTGGAGCTGATCCATTTTTTTCTATTAAAATTTTTATTTATTAGGCTGTCAAGATAGCTCAGTGGGCAAAAGTGCTTGCCACCAAGTCTGATGACCTGGGTTTGATTCGTCCTGGACCTTCATGGTGGAGAGAGCTATTTGACTCTTGTAAGTTGTCGTTTGATTTCCAGATCACCTCCCTCAGCCACTCCCCCATCTACCCTCTCACCCCATCCCCACATAGTAAAAAATTTAAAGTTTAATGACTATGATATTAAAGCATCTACTATTTACTTGTGTGTGTGAGTACTTGTGTGTGTGTGTGTGTGTGTATGTGTATAGGAAGCCAGAGTTGGGTTTTCCAATCCCTTGGAGCTGGAGTTACAGGGATTTCCAAGATGCCTGGCTGTTAATCTGGTGCTGATCAGAATGCAGGTTTTCATGATTGCATAGCAAGAACTCATGACTGATGAGCCATCTCCTCAGCCTGTGAAGCTGATACATTTCTAAAGTGGTCACATAGTTCTATACTTTGTGGATATACGTCTATGACACAAAAGTGTGGCAGAAACGAAGTGAGATAAGGAATTTCTGCACAGTGAACTCAGGCATTGTATAATGAAGTTTTGGTCAGTGATACTGTATATGAGCATAGGTACTATAAGATTATTGCTTAATGACATTGTTATATCTCAGTTTGTATAAGTATACTCCAGGTATAGTATAATCCTGTCACTAGGCAGTTCATGACTATGATATGAAAGCATCTACTATTTGGCAAATATTTTTAAAATTATGGTGACATGTAACTTCATTTTTAATTAATTTATCAGCAGATGAAGAAACAAAATACAGTGAAAACATTTTGTATAGTAAGATATTTCTGACATAAAAGGAGTGAAATTCTGATACATGCTATACAACTTGCATGGATTTTGAGGACCTTGTGCTAAGTGACATAAAACAGAAGTAACTTTGTGTTTATTTTTAAGATGTATTTATTTTATACATTTGAGTCTTTACTTGTATGTATGTATATGTACAATGTTTCTATCTGGAACCCGTGGAAGCCAGAAGACCTTCCTCAGATCCCCTGGGACTGCAATTACAGCTGTCCATGAGAGTGCCGAGAATGGAACTCAGATCCTCTGGAAGAGCAAGAAGCTCTTAACTGCTAAGCCATCTTTCCAGCTCATTTTTTTTTAATTGATTTTTTTTCTTAATTTTTAAGCATAAAAATATAATCACACCATTTTTCCTCCCTCTAGTTTCTCCCATGTACTCCTCCATGTTTATGGTCACTTCCTTTGTTATTGTGTGTGTATTTACCTAAATATATAAATACAACCCATTCAGTCCGTTTAGTGTTACTTGTATGTACATGATGTCGGGGTTGATTACTTGTTAGTGGGTACCCATTTAGGGTGCTCATCCTTGGGGAAGACTATTTCTCCCACTCTCAGCAATTTTTAATAGCCTATAGTTCTTTGTTTAGGGGTGGGTCCCGTAAGATTTTCCTCTTCAGTGTTAGCATGTTTATTGGTGTTGCACTTCTTTGGGTCTTGTTTAGGCAGTTGTATTGTCAAGTTATCGTGGGTGAAGAAGCTTCCTTGTCATTTCTAGGAGATAGATAGAATGTCATAGCAGATTTCTTTGTCTGCTGGCTCTTAGTTTTTTCTGCCCCTTCTTCTGATATGTCCCCTGAGCCTTGGGTGCAGAGGTTCTAGATGTTTCAATCGGAGCTGAGCTCCACACACATGATCTCTAACTTGTTCTCGGCATTTTGACCTAATGTGTTTTTCTAAGATGTTCTCCATCTGTTGCAAATAATAACTTCCTTAATGACTGCTGAGAGCTGTACTTACCACACTTGGCCCTGATGCAGTATGTTATAGGACCTATGTGGGCTGCGAGGTTGAATGCATATACAGGTTCATATTGCAGAGACCTGAAAACTTGAGAGCTCTTTTCTCTAGCAGAAAGCCAAATCATTATTTTATTTTCATTTTAAAAATTACTTAATCTATGACCAACATTTTTAAAAAAAATGAGACATATAGTGCTTTACTGAAAATATCTCGTCCCCTTGGCCTAGCACCATGATGTATCCACAGCTGGCTTAGAAGAGTCTCTCAATCTGGGTCTATGCTTTCCTGTTGGTCACTGGCCTCTATGCTTAAAACCCAAAATAATGATCACTAGGTAACACACACCCAGGAGGTCCAAAGACTCCCAAACTCCCAAATTCTCCAGAAATAACTGCCTCTCACCATTGCACTGTTAAGACTAAGGCCCATAAGAAATTAACCCACCTTTTTTGAGGGCCAGCCTATACTGGGTTTGTTGGACTAGCCATGTCCCCCTGCCCTGGCAGAGGCTCAGACTATGATTGCCAGCTGCCAGACATACTGATGACCTGTTTGGCCTGATCAGTGGAATGTGGTGGTGTCTTCTGGCTTTTGCTGCTGGCTGGCAAAGTTATTAGGGCCCAGGAACCAACCTCACTTCTTGGCATAGTGTCATCTTTTTGGGTGTGTTGAAGAGGATCTGGGTGGCCTCAGCAAAAAGGATCAGATCATTAAATAGTGTCCTTCCTCCTGAAGATAGAAGTCTGTAACAGGGTTTCAGCAAGTGAGTTTTATATGGCCATTTTCTATAACAGTGAATTATGCTAACTTATTTTCCTGGTTATTACAAGAATTTCCTTTAAGTACTTACTAGACTGTTGATTAAAGCCAGAAGGTTTTAGAAATCCTAGTGATTAAAAAAAAGTGAGAGGGGAGCATGGGTAAGGAAACAAACTGACAATTCTGCAAATGTACCTAGTGACCAAGTGCATTCATAGAGACCAAACTTAGGCAAAATGTTTCAAGTTATTATCTTCAGCTAAACAAAAAGTATTAACAAGACAAAACATTTTATCTGTTTTAGTACTTTTTTTTTTTAAATCTCAAAGGCTGAGAAGGACTGGAAACAAAACAAACAAAAAAAACTAAGGGAGATAGTTGATGTTCTTTCAAGAGTGGGAGAGTTGCCATCAACCATCACTGAAGTCTTCCTTTTAGAGTTTAATGTTATAGTCTGTAGTAGTTTAAGTGTGTTTTGTTTGCAGACATGTGGGTACCAACCTTGTGCTTATAAACAATAGAACTAATTATTATCTGTTGAACCTCTACTGTGCCTAGTGCACATGAAATCCCTAAGTGAACCACTTTACTCTTTACTGTGCTAAAACACAACAGAGAATGGTGCTGGGATATAGTTTGATGATTAGTACATACAGAGCCCTGGGTTTAATGCATAGTACCACAAACAAAACCCAAAACAAAACCACATTTACATTTTTGTTTCTTACAAAAATATATTTTAAAATATACAATTTTATGTGTCTGTGTTGTGCACGAGCCTGCAGAGGTCAGAGGAAGCACTGGATCATCCCCGGGACTAGAGGTGCAGGGGATTGTGAGCTGCCATGGAGGTGGGTGCTGAGAACTGAATCCTGGTCATTTGTCTGCAGAAACCAGAAACATCACATACCCCTGGAGTTTGTGTCCCAGACAGTTATGAGCCACCCGATATGTTGGTAACTGAACTTGGATTCTTTGCAGGAGCAGTAATTTACTCTTAACAGTTGATCCATCTGTCCAGCCTACATATTTACTTTTTAAAAGTGTATGGTTCAGTAATGTTAAGTATACTCACATTGATGTATAACAGATCTTTAGACCTTTTATCTTTTGTCCACACCCTTTGGGAAGTACTATTTTGCTTTTTATTTTTCTTGTGATTGTTTTGACTTTTGGTGTGAAAAGAATTGTGCTTTGGGCTGAATTTCAAATCATTATAACTAGGTTCAAACACATTTATTAATCAAAATTAAGAACCATTAAATCCACACTTGCCCCCCCCCCCCGTCTCTGTGTGTTCTTTTTCTTCCTTTTTCCCTCCCTCCCTCCCTCCCTTCCTTCCTTTTTTGGAGACAGTTCTAGCTATGTAAGACCAGGGTGGCCTGAAACTCACAGACATCCCTCTGCCTCTGCCTCTTGAGTGCTGAGATTAAAGGTATGCGCCATCATGCTTGGAATATAAGTAAAATTTCATTCTTTCTGTAGTTATAAAACAAAAAACTAAAAACTGTGCTCCACTGTGTGGATTGTAATGCATTAGCGATTAACTCTTAGTTACCAATAATTCATCAATGTCCTTCATTAAGGAAAGAAATAAAAGTACTTCCTCTTGGAGTTGTTTAACCAAGAGAGTGGTTATTCTACTTCATACTTCCTGTGACTTTTGGACATCCTTTGTCTGTTGCATGAGTCTGAATCTGTACCTGCCTGAAGGGCTGTCTTGTGAATCTATCCTTGTGTCTGTTGTATGACAGTGTGTGGTTTGCTTTCTTCTGTGTGGTTGTATGTCGGTTGTATGAGCTGTGTGTGTCTGTTGTATCATCTGTATATGTCCTTAACAAAGGGCTCTGCTCTGTATTTATTGAAATGCGTAGAAAGCATCACATGAGGAAGGAATAGGAAACTTTAAAGAAATCTTTAACAGAGTTTTAGAAGGGATTAAGTCACTGGCTCCAACAGATCCAAGGGAAATCCAAGATCAGTAAGGTTAGTTGTTACATTGTTCTCTTAAAGGCAGGCAAACAGTTTGTGTACACAGTAGGCTTAAGTCTTGAGTGACTTCAAGATGTATTATTAACTCTGGGTGTGAGTAAAAGTTTGCCCCTTAGATTAGGAGAGAGATTTTCAGAATGTTGCATTTCTACACTCCATGATTTGACAAACATTTGGAAAGTATTTTCTGTATCCTGCTGGCTGTGGAAATTTGTTTTCTGCAAGAAGTTGTTGAGGTACTTGAAGAAGTGATAGCTGGTGAATGAAAGGTTAGGTGAATATGGTGGAGCAGATAAGACTTTGTAGCCCGATTTGTTCAACTTTTGAAGTATTGGTTGTGTGATGTGCAGTCAGGTGCTACTATGGAGAAAAGATGGCCCCTTTCTGTTGGCCATGCTGGCTGCAAGTGTACTTTTTGATGCATATCATTGATTTGCTGAGCATACATCTTGGCTGTAAGGATTTTTTTCCAGGATTCAGAAAGCTGTCATGGATTGTACTGTGACCATAACCTTTTGGTGCATGTGTGGCTTTGGGCATTACTTTGGAGCTTTTTGGTTCAACCATGGAACTAGTCATCATGGTGGTTGTATATAATCTCCTTTGCATTTCACAGCCAGGTGGAGAAATGGATCAGTGTTGTATAGACTAAGAGAGGAGAGTATTCAAAATAACGGGCTTTGACTTTTCATCAGCACATGAGTTACTTACTGAATGTTTCCAGTTTGTCTCAAATGCAGGATGACTTGGATGGTCCACATTGAGTTCTGTGGCAGCTTCTCACGTAGTTGTAAGCGGTGCTTAGATAATTGTTCTCATTTTGTTTTCTCAGCTTCCCATGGCCAGTCATTTCATTCCTTCCAGGCTCCATCTCCTTTGCAAAACTAGTTGGACCTCCACTTCCTGGTTCACTCTTGAGCATTACTAGGTTAAATGTGTGTTGCGGTTTCCAGCTGTCTTTGTTACATTATAACCCCTTTTGAACTTGAATGAGAAGAATCTCTTGAACATGCTTTTTGTGTAACATATTTCAAGTAGTACAGAATAAATCCAAAACAGCAAGGAGTAAGTCATAGGAAAAGGCTTAAAGCAAGAAATATACATTGAAGTGATGCATAACAGAATTACATTTATTTAACAATGTGTTTCAGGAACAATGGACAAATTTCAACAATGTAAAAACTGAAATTACCTTCCCATCAACCTAATACTTTTGATACTTTGTATGACTAGAGATAGACTGTATCTGTGCTGCCATTGTCTTGTTTTGCTTAGTATAATGTCCTTGAGGTTCATCTGTTGCCTCCATGTTCTTTTAAAGGTAGGTAAACAGTTTGGGTACATAGTAGGTCTTAAATAGTCTCCCAGCAACACTCCCCCCGCCCCATTGTGCTCTGAGCCCTCTTACATCAAGCATTAATCAAGAAAACAGCCCATAGATTTGCCTACAGGCAATCTGATGGAGGCAGTAGTTTAACTAAGGTTCCTTCATTGTCAGGTCATCAGCAAACACTGTTACCCCCGGAACCATCTTGCTGGTACTTGAACTAGTGTTTTAAACAAATCAAAATTAGTGGTCTAGTTCAATAGTAATGTACTTGCTTAGTGTACATGAAGCCTTGCTTTAATCTTTAGCACTATTAAAAAAGAAAATAGTTAAGATGATGTAGCTAGATCTTATGGTTCATACCTGTAATCCAGCAGTTTTGAGGCTGAGGCAGGACTGCAGTCAGTTTGAGGTTTAACCTGGGTTACATAGTAAGAACCTATCTCAAGAAACAAAACTTTAAATGAATACATAAATTAAAAAAAAATAAATTGGCTAGTTTGAGCTTACTGGTATTCAGTACTTGGGAAATTTATCAGCTAAAGAAAAGTTGTACCATAGATATTCTAGAAAAGAAAATTTCAAATTATTTGTTGGGTGCCCTGCCTAGCTTTATCCATTAGGACAATTTGAAGGATGAAATGCTTTAGAAAGAGACATTCTGTATGGTAACAACACTAACTTTTAAACTCAGAGAACTTAAAGTGTCTTGTTTTTTCTACCATCTATAATTCTTAGAAAACCGAATCTAAACTAGTATGGTGTGTGTTGGAGGCGGAGGGGGAGTGGTTCTATGTTTTTTTTTTTTTCCTCATATAACTAAATAGTTACTGAAACTGATTTTATTTGCTTGATGGTAGGGCTCAAGTGTTCTGATAAAGACAGGTCAACTAGGATCCTAAGTGTCCCTGAGGTTCAATCCCATTGCTTGGTTTCTTGGGAATTTGGCACATTTCTTTTTTCTTTTGTTTCTTCCCGTTTCTTCCCCCTTTCCTTCTTCCCTCTCCCTTTCCCTTTTCACTTTTCGTTTTCTTTCTGGCTTCTGCGTAGATAGAAATAGTCCAGGATGGCCACTCTTCCTTTCTTATCTTACTTTTAGCAGACTAAACTTTACAAATGATGTGTTAATGAGATACAGGTTACTCTCTCTCTCTCGTTTTAAACTACTAATAAACTTTTATTGTTTTAAAGTCCATTATTTACTAGAGCCAGGCTCTGAGATTTTACAAATGAGTAAAACCTGTTCTTGATAGTGAAGAATTTACAGTGGGAGTGGAGTATAGTGAAAATTGTGATTTTTAAGTGTAACTATATGATAGTAGTGGGATTTGGGAATTGTGAAGGAATCAGATCTTCACCTTCTGGTAGACAGGAAGCTGAGAGAACAGGAGGGCTCCTGAAAAGAAGGCATTACTTTGAAAGGCATATCTCTAGTGACCTCCTCCAGCCTGTCCCACCTCAGTTTTTGGGATCTAAGTGATCACTTTTCTCTCTGATCTCCAGCTTGGTCTAAAACTAGAGACTGCTCTGTAGTGGCATCTAACCTGAACACACAGTTACTCTTTCAATTCCCCTATTTCCTCTCCTGTTTCTATATGGCTGCCAGCTTTGTCTTTTCAGAATGTAAATCACCCTACCTTCCTTTTGACCCAACACTCTGGTTTCCTATTGCTCCTGAGATAATGAACATTCATAACATTTTATATAGCTAGGCAGAAATGTCCTTGTAATGTCTTGAAGAGACAATATGACTCTAATACTTGTATAAGAAAAGAACACTGATTTAGACTTCAGGTGTAGACTCTAGTATGTGTTATATGTCTGGTGAACTATAGCCAGTTCCCATATTTATTTGCGTATAATTGCCTCATGGAGTCTGCAACTAAAGATAAGGCAGAGGCATTTGCTTTTTATTTGCTGCATTTCGCTTTCCTCTTGCTCACAAAACCCCACATGTGAATAAAAGTGGCACAAGAAGCAAAGACACCATCACAGTATTTGAAGTGAGAAGTGTGATCAGGTGTGTGTGTGTGTGTGTGTGTGTGTGTCTGTCTGTCTGTCTGTCTGTGTGTCTGTGTAGAGTGGTTTATCCTTTGTTTGTTTTGTTTTTCAAGGCAGTGTTTCTCTGTGTAGTCTTGGCTGTCCTGGAACTTAATCTGTAGACCAGGCTGGCCTCAAACTTAGGGATCTAAACTGTCTCTGCTTCCCAAGGGCTGGAATCAAAGATGTGCTCCACCGCCCACCAGCCCTGATTTATCTTTACTATCCTACTGTACATTTTCTACTCTTAATGTGTAAATGGAACCTTCTCGCTTGTACCTTTTGCAACTAGAGGGGTCCCTTGCTATTTGAGAGAGAATAGTTGGAGTAGCCCTTTGGATACCAAAATCCGTGGATTCCTTATATAAAATGGCAATATAATTGACATAACCTGTGAACATCTTCTGTATACTCCAAGCTATCTGTTATACTTAAAATAACTAATACAATAGAGATGCTATGTACATAGGTTGCTGCACTGTTTGTTGTATAATACTGTTTAGGGAAAATGACCATAAGTTTACACATATTCACCATAGAGGTGCCTGTCATAGGCCTGGTTATGTAGTGTGAGAGGGAGATGTGGGGTAGACAATGCCCCAAGTGTTAGAAGTTGGCTGGAGATATGTGGAGTGGCTGGGGCTACAGCAGTGTGTGCTCACCCTTCATTTATTATATTGAGGGAGCATAGTACTCGACGTGAAACAAATTCAGATTTTGTTGTTGGTGTGGTTTTTTTTTGTTTGTTTGTTTTGTTTTTTTCCCTAGTTTTAGTTTTTTCCCACTGAATATTTTTGATCAGAGGTTTGTTGAACCCATACGTAGTGTGAAGCCTGTGGAGGGGGGAAGGGGGGAAGGGAGGCTAAGGTGTATGATCGTTCAGTTGTACATTGTTTCTAGAACAGTGTTTTTAAAAGCTGTACTTGATTTGACTTGATTTTGTCTATGTGAGTGTTTTGCCTACATGTTATGTCTGCACCACTTGGGTGCCTGATGACTATGGAGGCCGGAAGATGGTGTCAGGTCCCCTAGAGATGGAGTTAGAGGTGGGTGTGAACCGCTATGTGGGTGCTGGGATTTGGACCTGGGTCCTCTGGGAGAGCAGCCAGTACGTACTCTTAGTCACTGAGCCATCTCTCTAGACCCTTAATAATTAAAAACCTAAAGAATGTTTTTACTCTAAAAATGTGAGCCCTGTGGAGTAAAAACTAGCTTGTGGTATAGTATACATAATTCCCATAATGAGAGCACATATCTTTAAACCTTCTACTATTTAAGATTTATAGATAAAAGTATGTGTTTATAGATAAAAATATACTTTAAAAGCTGGGCATGCTGGCAACTCCTTAAATCCCAGCACTTGGGAGGCAGAGGCAGGCAGATCTTTGAGTGAGAAAGGCCAGCCTGTTCTGAAGTGAGTTCCAGGACAGCTAGGGCTACACAGAGAAACCCTGTCTCGAAAAACAAACAAACAAAAAAACCACAAACAAAAAAATTAAATAAAATCATTCAGTGACACATTTCCAGGATTTAGCTCTACAGGATACATGGGTTTTTCTCTACAAATATCAACAGTAAAAATGTTTTGTTGATATCAGTTTGCTTGGGATTAAAAGATCATATTCAAGCTGGTTAGATAAGTGATTATAATATGAAATCATTGCTTTTAGAATAATCATGGGCCAGACTGGGAAGAAATCTGAGAAGGGACCGGTTTGTTGGCGGAAGCGTGTAAAATCAGAGTACATGAGACTGAGACAGCTCAAGAGGTTCAGAAGAGCTGACGAAGTAAAGGTAATTTCATAAAAATGCATGTATAATTGAAACTAATTTCCTCCACCCTCAAGTTAAATAGATTTACTTTGAAATGGTACATTTTCAGTCAAGGTCCTGTTTACAGTAAAATCAATTAAGACTTGAAAGTGATGGTCCTTGATCTGTCTTAGTTAGAATTACATCATGACTGTTTGGTGCTGTGCTGTGTACCTCTAATGCCAGCACTTGGGAGGTAGAAGCAGAAGGACCAGATGAAGTTCAAGACTGGACTGATCAGAGAGAGGCTCATCAGGTAAAAGTACTTGCCACTAAGCCTGATGACCTGATTTTTAGCCTTGGGATCTTCATGGTGGGAGGAGAGAACCAATCCCCAAGAGTCCTCTCAGGCCCACAGCAGCGCTGCAGCATGTAATGCACAGGCACATGAATCAACAATGTAGTAACAAAAATGAAGACGCTCAAGATCATCCTGGGCTATATGGACTTTTTCTCGAAAAATGAAAAAATATATATCATCCTCATTAATGATAACAAGTATTTAAATTAAGGATTATTCAGCCTGTTTGGAAATCAGTCTTTTCAGTATGCCTTTGCACTGCTTGTGTATAGATTCAGGACCCAAACACAAAGGCATTTGTTTTATGACTTTGTGTTTCTAAAGCATTGTGATTTCTGAAATATAAAGTTAAACAAAGAGAGGATGGAAACAATTTCCTGTTCCCCTTTCACTTACAAGGAAGTAGCAATGTTTTTGTATTTACTATTAGAGTGTGGAAAACTGTAGTGTATTGTGTGAAATCTGTGTACATTTGAGGACATGGTCATGGTATTTTTGATGATTCACTAGATTTTAACCTGCTTTAAAGATGCTACATATTGTAACAATGAACAATTTCTTGTTTGTTTTTAAAAGACTATGTTTAGTTCCAATCGTCAGAAAATTTTGGAAAGAACTGAAACCTTAAACCAAGAATGGAAGCAGCGAAGGATACAGCCTGTGCACATCATGACTTCTGTGAGCTCATTGCGCGGGACTAGGGAGGTTGGTTAACACAGTGTTGCAACAATTATCAACACATTTACTTTCTACTTATTGGAATGTTTATTGCTTATTTAGAAGAATTCACAGACTTAGGATGTCTCTCTTTTGTGTGTCAGTGGCAACCTTACCATACTACTAGTAATTCTTTTAACAGCTCGGTGTGTTTTAGGATGTGTTTTGGCTGTTTGGGCATACTAGACTTAATGCTCAGATTAGTAGTATTTAGAGCAAGGCTTTCTAATTCACAGTTGCTTTCCTCCCTGTCTCCTTAATAAAAATTAGCCATGTTGTAAGAAATATTTCTTTTTATGTTTATGATCTAAGAAAGCTTTTTATTATGCATTTTGTTTAAAGACTGAGAATTTTAAAAAATTCAGTGCTCTGAGATTGGCATTTTCTACAGTCACGTTTTATGAGGGAGATCTTAATCACCATCAGATAATATCTTATTTTCAAAGAAAGGCAAAAGATAAAATCCTATGGTAAGGGAAGGGAAAAATGTTGTAATTATATTATAATCTCAAACAAAAGTCCTATGGTAGAGTCTATTATTAAATCTCTCATCAAAACATACTGTCAGCGAGATGGTAGGGAATGGCAGAGATCTAAACAGAAGAGAGCTGTTTATTAGGATTCTGGCTTGAACACTTCTGTTTAGGTGGCTTGTTTTATATAGAAAGACATGATAAAGGGTGTTGAGTGGAAACTGAAGGAGAAGCAAGTGATTTGGAATTAAGATTATGCTACTGTAGATTATTCATGAATGCATAAACATGGAGGCCACCTATTTATTCTAAAGCAATTATTTCAATGAACATTTTAAAATATAACAGTATTATAATAAACAAGCCATAATTTGCTGTCATATGAGGCTTGTGTATATCGTGTGACACACAGGCTTCAAGGGCTTCTGTGATGATTCAGTGGCATTTTCACAGATACTACTGTATACTAATGGTGACTTTGGTGATGTTCATGGTAGTGTGGTCTTGGGGAGAATACATACTTTGGAAAAGTTCCTAGTTTTTTATACTTTTTAGGTGACAAATCTTTAAAGTCTGACTTATAATTTTACAAATTTATAAATTATAAGTTTACATGCTTTATACTGATACCTTCCCCATTATCATGAAAATCACAGAGTAGAGAAAAATTGGAGGTAATAGCTTTCATTATTACTTGAGGGGTGAAAGGGGTACTTTTCTATGCCTGTGTCTATGCCTATGAACATTATAAGACACGGATTTCAGGTAATTCTTTTGCAAGGTTTGTTTAAGATTTATTTTTGAATGGGGTGTGGTAGCTCACATCTGAAGCAGGTGGATATCTGTGATTTCAAATTCAAGGTTATATAGTGAGACCCCCTCATCTTTTAATAAATGCTTATTTTATGTATATGTGTATCTACATGTATGTGAATGGACTGCGTGCATGCCTTATGTCTGTAGAGATCAGAAGAAAGTACTGGATCTCCCATAACTGGAGTTATGGATAGTTATAAGCTACCTTGTAGGTGCTAGGAGCTGAACTCAGGTCCTCTATAAGAGCAGCAAGTACTTTTAATCACTGAGCCATCTCTCTGTCCCATTGGTTTTAAAGTTTAGTCTGGTGCCTTTTTAAAAATTTTGAGTATTTCATTCAGGAGTACTGTCTTTACATGGTTTCCATCCTCCCCTCCTCAGTTCCTCCTCATTTGTCTCATAAATTCAGGAGTTCTTTACTCTCTCTCTCTCTCTCTCTCTCTCTCTCTCTCTCTCTCTCTCTCTCGCACACGCACTCACATATCCTGCTGAGTTCATTAAAGTTGCTTGTAGATGTATAAGTTTTGAATATTTCATCTTAGTAATTTTGATAAAGAATAAAGGGTTCACATTTTGTCCTTTGTGGAGCATTTTAAGTGTGTGTGCGTGTGCGTGTGTGTGTATCTTGTTACTGAGATTCAGAAATAATCTAAGCAATCTTGGCCACAGAATTTTAATTTAGAATATATTTCTTTTCTTTTTTTTAAGGTTTTTATTTTTAATTCTGTGTAGATGTGTCTCTGTGTGACTGTGCATGTAAGTATAGTGCCCGGGGAGGCCACAGAGGCCATCAGCTCCCTTGGAGCTGCAGTTACAGGCTGTTGTGAGCCACCTGACATGGATCCTGGGAACTGAGCTTAGGTCCTCTGTAAGAACCATAAAGGCTCTTAATGGTTGAGTCATCTCTTTAATTCCTTTCTTCATTAAAAAAAATATTTCTGACTTGAAGACAGTGATATTATGTTTTGCATTCATTTTCTTTGGTCTTCAGTTAATCTTTTAAAGAGTTACTCAACATCAGAATGTCATTAAGCAACACTAAAGGATACATGTGTTATTGCTGTCATGCGGCTGTTTATCAGAATAGAGTTTCCAAGTGACTCGCTTTGTCTTAACAACTAGAAAAACTTGTGAGTCTTCATTTTTTTTTTTTTAAAGATTTATTTGTTTATTATATATGAATACATTGTAGCTGTCTTCAGACAGACCAGAAGAGGGCATCAGATCTCATTACAGATGGTTGTGAGCCACCATGTGGTTGCTGGGATTTGAACTCAGGACCTCTGGAAGTGCAGTCAGTGCTCTTAACCACTGAGCCATCTCTCCAGCCCGAGTCTTCATTTTTTTAAGCTATTTTTTTCTAGGTTTAGTAAAGAAATTGGTGTTATTCATGATGTTCTTAGTGTGTTTCTTGTATATTTGTCAATTTTTCCCCCCACTAAAAACTATAAGGTATTTTTCCTTAAGTGGTTTGTCATTGCTTGTTTTTGAGATAGGATCTCACTATGTAGCTTTAGCGGGCCTGGAACACATTGTTTACCAGACTGCCTTCAGACACAGAGGTCCATCTGCTTCTGTGTTTTGAGTGCTGGGATTAAAAGTGCATGGCACCATACTTGCCCTGGATTATTTTTTATGTGAATTTTATTTTTTATACTGTGAATGCCTTGCTAAGGTAATACCTATCTGCTAGGTAAATGACATGATAAGTAATTTAATAAAATAATCTTCCAGGTATATTTCTAGGAGAATAAGATGTATTTGTAAGCATCTATGTCTTATGAAAAGAGATTTTTTGGTATGCATTTTAATGTACAGTTGTTTGCAATAGAAATAGCATTAGATGTATATAATGATTTTTATATTCATGAAGAGTTTTTTTGGTTGTGAGCCTAGCCTTTAACGGCCGAGCCATCTCTCCAGCCCTCATGAAGAGTTTTTAAACTTTTAGACTCAAATATATGTAGGTTTGTGCTTTCTAGTAATATTTGAGGTAATTAAAATTATTTGCTGATTGATATTTACAAGTAATTTGTTTTAAAAAAGTTCTATTAAAATAATAGAATATGCAATCATTTTTGTTGAAGAAAAACTAGGTCTATTTTAATACTTGATTGTATGGCTTATTGCCTTGCAATGCACTTTACTCCTGTGACTGTCAAGAGAAAGTTCCAGTTACAATTTGTAAAGAAAAAAATCCCAGTGTTGCTAAGGTGTTAGTATTCTTTATTCCCCCCCCACACACACATTGTCATTTAGCAACATTTTAGCACTCTGATACATCCTTAAGTTCAACATAGTAGCATATTTCTTATAAATTTTGAGAACTCAAGGTTTTAAAGGTAGTGTGGTGGTACATGCCTTAGTGCCCACAGGCACAGTCCCCAGAGCTCAGCCACATGATTGTGGATGTCCCTGCCCCTGCTGCTTCACTGCTCTGCTCTCTGCTGCTGCTTTCTCCATGTTTCCAGCAAAGCTTATACCACTAGGCAAGGAAAGACCATTTGAGAGAAGCTTTTATTGGGCTTAATGTTGCAACATCAGAGAAGAAGTCACAGGAGTGTCTTCTGCCTGCTCACTGTCCCTTAATAGCCTGCTTATATAGCTGAAGAAAGGCTGTTTGGATCAGTCTCAGGCATTTATTTTGGACCAGTCAGCCTTGCCTTTTAGCACAGTTGCAGTCATGGAGGCTTGTGTATTGTATCAGTAGTATGTAGCCTTGTATTTCGTCACAGTCAAAGTAGTTTGTTTGGCTAGATGACTTGGGGAAAGTGATCCCTGTCTGGCCTAGGTAAAGCTGGTTGCAGTGTTATCTGGAGTTCATCCAGGCTTGTGATCCAGGCAAAAAGTCTGGTACTATCTCAAAACAGCTCTGGCTAAGGCTGCTTTCGGAAGCGAGGTGTGTCAACTGTGATCATGCTGTAGTCATTTCAAGATGTCCAAGGTGTGACCTAGACACCTGGTACTGGCATTAAGGGGTAATTCATTATAGTCAAGGCAGCAAAGGATTGTCCAACAGCTGAGAATTAGGAAGTCAAATTGTCTCATTTTTAGCTGTCTGCTTCTTATAGGAAATGAACAAACAATGTCATTTTTTGAAAGAATGCACTTTAGTTTTTTACATTTTATTTATGTTTTTATTCATTGATTTTTGTGTGTGTATGTGTGCACATTTGTGAGAGTCAGAGGACAACTTGTGGGAGTTAGCTCTTTCCTATCTTGCATACTCAGGCATGGTGGCAAGTTCTTTTTTTTTACCCTTAGAACCATCTTATAGGCCCACGAATAGTGATTTTAAACAGATTTGTAATCCGTGCTTACCATCTGCTGAATGTCCCAGGGGAAATGGGCCACGCTCATCTGTCTCACTCCTACTAGCTCTTTATGGAAATGCCCATTTACCTTTATTTTCAACACAGGATATTGTTAGACTAATAGATACAAGTTGTGTTTCAGTTTGCCTTAACTCAGTGAGGGAGTGTTTTGCATGCATGTGTGTATGCATGTGTGTGCCTCATACCAGAGGAATCCAGAAGAACATGTAGGAGTCCCTGGAACTAGAGTTACAGAGAGCTGGGAGACACCACGTGGGTGTTGAAGGCTGAAACAAGGTCTTCTGCAAGAGCAATCAGTGATCTTAACCATCTAGAGATCTCTTTAGGCCCCGTTGTTTAAACTACTTATATAACCTACCTACCC